ATATTTTACAAATAATACCTTGTTCCCTACTGTGGCTTTTTACTCTCATGTTTTTTGATAAATAGTTCTTAAATATTGAGTAGCCAGATGCATTGTTTTTTTCCCTTTGTAGTTAATAGTTTGTGGGCTTCATTTAAGGTTTTATTCTCTAGAGATCATGAAAATATTCTCTATATTATTTTCTAATAACTTTGTTGCTTTGCCTTTTACATTGAGGTCTAGAAATCACCTAGAGTTGTTTGTATATGGTGAGAGGGAGAGGTCAAGTTTCAGGTTTTTTCCATATTAATATCCAATTGTCACAACATTATCTTTTTTCTGCTGCTCTGCGGTGATTCCTTTGTCACTAATCAAGTGTATGTATACACATGGATCTATTGTGAGTTCTCTACTCTGTGCCATTGGTTCATTTGTTTATCCTTGCACGAATAGTGAGTGGAATTTATTACTTAATCTTTTTAAGTCTTGAGAACATGTAGAAGACTTCCCACCTTGTTCTTGAGCAGTGTCACAACTATTTTTATATTTTCTTATAAATTTTAGAATCAGCTTGTCGAATTCCACCAAAACTAAACAGCAAAAAGAAAAACAAAACAAAACAACAACTCTCTTCCTCCAACAAATATTTCATGTTTTATTTGCTTATATCTTCTAACATTTCAATAATGTTTTATACTTTATAAAACATATGCTTTTCTATGTACAGGTCTTGCATTCTTGCACATATTTATTCCTAAATTTTTTATCTTTTATGTAGCTATTGTAAATTTGTTATTTGCTCTATGGCATGCTACCATGAATCAATGGATCAACTAGATGGACATACAGTGTTAGAATTGGGAATTTTTTTTTTTTTTTTTTGAGATGGAGTCTTGCTTTGTCACCCAGGCTGGAGTGCAGTGGCACGATCTCGGCTCACAGCAACCTCCACCTCCCGGGTTCAAGCAATTCTCCTGCATCAGCCTCCTGAGCAGCTGGGATTACAGGCATACACCACCACACCCAGCTAATTTTTGTATTTTCAGTAGAGACGGTTTCGCCGTATTGGCCAGGCTGGTCACGAACTCCTGACTTTGTGATCCACCCACCTCTGCCTCCCAAAGTGCTGGGATTACAGGCGTAAGCCACCACGTCCAGCCCACGTGAATGGTTTTAATAAAACATTTAATTAGATATGGTTAAATTGTCAAAAGCAAACATTTCTGCTTTGCTTAAAAATGTTATAACACAGGGTTGGGCACAGTGGCTCATGCCTGTAATCTCAGCACTTTGGGAGGCCAAGAGAGAAGGGCTCCTTGAGCACAGGAGTTCCAGACCAGCCTGAGCGACATAGCAAAACTGCGCCTCTACAAGAAAAGAAAAAAAGAAAAGAAAAGAAAAGGACAGAAAAGAAAAGAAAAGAAAAGAAAGCCAGGCATGGTGGCATGTGCCTGTTGTCCTAGCTACTCAGGAGGCTGAAGTGTGAGGATTGCTGGACCCCAGGAGATGGAGGCTGCTGTGAACTTGAACAAGTCACTGCACTCTAGCCTGGGTGACAGAGACCCTGTCTGGAAAAAAAAAAGTGGTAACACAAAACTTGCACATGAATGTTTATAGCAGCTTTATTCATAATTATCAAAACTTGAAAGCAATCAAGATGTCCTTCAGTAGGTGAATGGATGTTGACATCAGGGGTTTTCTGGACAAATCATATGCCCAGATCACCCTACAGTGAAATTCAAAGTTAAAAGCACCAGCTATCTACTTGGAGCTTCCTCTCTTTGTACTTTTTAATTTTTACTTTTAATCATGGACAGCAACCAAGAAAATTCCATCATGTAGAAGGAAGGGACCCAGACAACAGACAAAGGAATATGGAGGAAGCAGATGCTGCAGGAATGGATTAACTGCAGTATGCCCAAACAATAAAGTATTATTCAGTGCTAAAAAGAAATGAGCGATCAAGCCTGAAGGGACATGGAGGAACCATGAATGCATATTACTAAGTGAAGGAAGCCAATCTGAAAAGCTATATACTGTAAGATTCCAACTATGTGACATTTTGGTAAAAGCAAAACTATGGAGACAGTGTAAAAATCCTGGATGCCAGTGGTTAGCAAGAAGAGAGGAATGAATAGGTAGAGCACAGATAATTTTGAGGGCAGTGAAACTATTCTGTATGATACTATAATGCTGGATATACATCATTATACATTTGTCACATCCATCGAATGTACAGCACCAATATAGAATTCAATACAAATATGTAGGCATTCCTCATTTGGGTAGTATGCAGAATAGAGTTCCTATAACAGGCCTAAGACTGCTATCTTTAGAAAGGCCTGCTTCCTAAAGGTTGGCCTGTAGGTGGATTTGGGAGCGTTCCTGCTGTTCTCTGAGTCTCTAAAGAGCTTCCATGGCAGACAGCCCTTCACAAATGTTGTTACAACGTGATGCTTGTGGTTGGCTTCTTCCTGTCTTTTTCCTGTGCACCTTTTCCCTCTGCTGCTTTTGCTTCATATTCTTCTGCTGTAATAAATCTTAACTGTGAGTACAACTGAGTCCTATGAGTTCTTTTAGTGCATCACTGAACCGGGGGGTGATCTTAGGGATCCCCAACAGGTAGATATGTGTTTCCTTCTGCATCACAGAATACAGTCTGATTCTATGAGGGAGAAAGAAGGCTGTTTTCCTTGAAAACTTGATTCAGTGCAACCATTCATATTAAAAACATACAGTTATATTTCAGTATCATAAGGGACTGGATCCAGAACTCCCAGATATCAAAATCCATGGATGCTCAAGTCCCTTACATAAAATGGCATAATCTATGCACATCCTCCTGTACTTTAAATAATCTCTAGATTAATTATAATAATATGATGTAATGCTATGTTGACAGTACTCTTACTGTATTTTTATTTGTATTTTTAAATTACTGTATTATTTGTTATTTTTAAATATTGTTATCTGACATTGGTTAAAACCATAGATGTGGAACCTCTGGTTATGGAGGTTCAATTGTACTCTTTTTTTTTTTTTTGAGACAGGATCTTGTTTTGTCACCCAGGTTGGAGTGCAGTGGCATGATCATAGTTCACTTCAGCCTCAATCTCCTGGCTTCAAGCAATCCTCTCATCTCAGCCTCCCGAGCAGCTGGGACTACAAGCTTTTACACCACACTGGCACACAGGGCTAATTTTTTGCTTTTTATTTTTTGTAGAGACGGGGTCTATGTTCCCCATGCTCAAACTCCTGCCCTCAAGTGATCCTCCTGCCTTGGCCTGCCAAAGTTATGCGATTGCAGGTGTGAGCCACAGTGCCTGGCCCAGCTTTTCATTCTGAAACGCATGTTCTTCAGTCCTGGAGCCTTGATAATTACTTATTTCTTTTCTTTTCTTTTTCTTTTCTTTTTTTTTTTTTTTTTTGAGACAGTCTCACTCTGTTGCTAAAGCTAAAGTGCAGTGGTGTGATCTCTGCAACCCCCACCTCCCAGGTTCAAGCGATTCTACTGCCTCAGCCTCCCAAGTAGCTGGGATTACAGGTGCCTGCCACCATGCCCAGATAATTTTTGTATTTTTAGTAGAGACGCGGTTTCACAATGTGGGCCAGGCTGGTCTCAAACTCTTGACCTCAAGTGATCCACCCACCTTGGCCTCCAAAGTGCTGGGATTACAGGCATGAACCACTGCACCCAGCCCAAATTACTTATTTCTTCTTATTTGTACTACGCTGCTTCTCAAGCACCCTTAAGAATTATTTATTTCATCCCCTCTGTACTGTGTTTTCCAATTTTCTTATCTTTCAGAGTTTTTGCTCTACGTTCTTCAATGTTATCTTCTACCAATAGTTTTTTCACTTTTTTATTTCCAATAACTTAAAAAAAAATCCCCTACCCCTTTTATCACACCCTGTTGTGGCTTCATCTTCTCTTATTTTTCTGGGGCTATTATGAGAATTTTTAAAAGTATTCTCCCTGCAGCATCTGCTTCCTCCATATTCCTTTGTCTGTTGTTTGGGTCCCTTCCTCTTCTACATTACTGAATTTTCTTGGTTGCTGTCCATGATTAAAAGTAAAAATTAAAAAGTACAAAGAGAGGAAGCTCCAAGTAGATAGCTGGTGCTTTTAACTTTGAATTTCACTGTAGGGTGATCTGGGTGTATGATTTGTCCAGAAACCCCCTGATGTCAATATCTTTGCTCAGCCTCTTAGGTTAATCAGATTCTGATCAGCCTAGCGAGGGGTTTCAGTTTTCAGTAGGCATAAAGCCACTTATTCTCTGTTTTAGGTGGATTACCCAGTCAGCAGATAATTTATCCCCTCCACGGAATTCAGCCGGGGTGGGAGCCCGTGGGTGGGAAAGAGGGGCAGCTGCCCAGAGACATGAAGCCGGAAAAAGGATCTAGCGATCAGAGTCCTTGAGCAGCCTTCGACTAATCTCCCCCTTTTCCGATTTACCTCTCATACTCATACTTGTGCTCTCCAGCTTCCAACATTTTGTTGCTGTTATCTCTGTCTTTGTGTGTTTAGGTTGTTATTTGATAAATTTTAACAGCAGAGTAGACAAAATTAGATGCTTGAATTCAAACCACTATCTTAAGTAAGACCTGATATCCGTAAGTAAAAATTTTTGGTATTCCAGCTTTCTTTTGAGTAGCAAAATAAAAACTAAAAGTCTTTTGGCCACTCCAACCATGTTACTCAGTAGGCCCTTCCAAAAGACACCCACTTCTCCATTTTGGGGATCCCTTTGTACCTTCAGACTCCACAAGGAGTACTCGACCAACACGACAAAACGAGATGCAGACTATTGGGAGGACTATAAACGGTAGGGCTGATACCCATTTGAGTCCACGAACAGCCCTCTCGGCGCCGCAGACACTGGTTGTTCCCGGGGACGCTCCAGCAGCCACTGAACTTCACCCACCCGCAGCGCCCCGAGACGCTCGACGCCCGACCTCCCACGCCCGCCCCGGAGCCCCGCCCCTCCCCATCCTTCCCCGCCCCTCCCTGCCCTGAGGCGCAGCAGGCCCCGCCCACCCAGGCGGTAGGAACACACTGCGGCCCCATTGACCTGCTGCCATGTCCCGACTGCAGCTTCGACCTTGGCGCCTCCTCTCTAACCCGCCGCGCGGCATCCGGGGTCTAGCGCTGCTGGCGCTGATGGCGCTGTCGCTCGCGGCCGGGACCGACTGCCCATGCCCGGAGCCCGAGCTCTGCCGTCCGATTCACCACCATCCAGATTTCGAGGTCAGCGCCTTCTTCTGCTCCTCTAGGTCTGGGCCTCAGGGCACGAAGAGAAGTTAGAGTAGAACCGAGCCTTAAGGAGAGGTGCCGTGGGCGCCGAAACCAACTTTGACCACTCGATGAGGGCCTTCCTGTTTACGGATCCTTCAATTTATAGATGAGGAAGCTCGGGCTCAGAGAAGTTGAGTAACTCCTCACAGGCCTCACAGCCTGTAAGTGCCTGCGTAGGCAGGCGAGTGTTCAAACCAGTTCTGTCTCCTAAGGCAAGCTCCTTTCATTCCCCTGCTGTGCCTCTGCCGAGGCACTCTGGTTGTAAAAAGCAAACAAGGTAGAATAATCCATTTCTCAGTTTCCAAGAGAATGAGGATTTCGTTTGAAAGAATCTCAGCACTCCAACAGTACATTAGAATGCAGAGTATTTTGCTTACCTTTAGTTTTCTATACCTGCTAGCCCTTTCCTTTAAAGTACCGCAAAACCACCCAAGAAGAGTGGTAAAAAATAGTTTTCAGTACATTTTCCTTCTATCCGCATAACAATTTATAACGCTTCTGGCAACTTTAATCAAACACTTTCTGGAGCAATATTAAAACCACCTGACTGCCCACTTCGATGACTGAAAGCAGGAATTGGATGACATCAGGAAGGTCCAAAGGTTTAATCCAAAGAACGATTCTTTTGTAGAAGTAGGCATGATTCCTAGTTCTTAATCTAGTCTATTAACCTGAGGCAGGGACACTTAGATGCCAGTAAAAAAGTGACATGACTTAGGAGAAGAAATAAAAATGGTGAAAGTGTTTACGAAGAACCTGCCTAGTGTGGAAACCTAACATCTTATTAAAAGAAAGATTTCAGACAAAGTAGGATAACCTTGTTTATTTGAGCGAAGAACAACTTATGAATCTGGTTTAAACCAGAAGGGATTCAGAGAGGTCTGCTTTAGTAGCATGGGTTTTTATAGGCTGAACAGGGAAGCAAAGGAAAATAATTACTTGGTTGGCTATGACTGTTTGCTTTATTTAGCTATGACTTGGTGGAGAATTCCTAGTTAGAGGTTAGTTGGCAGTTTCTGATAGGTTAAGCTTAAGTTTCCTTTCATTATTGACATTGGGCTGGAGTTTGCTTAAGCAGGAAATCCAAGGCAGTTGGAGCTGTTTCAGCATAATGGCCTCCCAATTAAAATGTTTTAAACAATCTGAGGCCCAGCGCGGTGGTAGAGGCAGTAAGGACAGTAGCTGTAAAAGTTAAACCAGACTTTTCTTAATTTTCTCAATCTCTTTTTGAGATTGAGAAGCACTTTGTGAGGCCAAGGTGGGTGCATCACTTGAGGTCAGGAATTTGAGAACAGTCTGGCCAACATGGTGAAACCCCGTCTCTAGCAAAAATACAAAATTTAGCTGGGCGTGGTGGTGGGCACGTGTAATCCAAGCTACTCAGGAGGCTGAAGCAGGAGAATCCGTTTGAACCTGGGAGGCAGAGCAGGAGGTGGAAGGTTGCAGCGAGCCAAGATCATGCCACTGCACTCCAGCCTGGGCGACAGCAAGATAATGTCTCAAAAAAAAAAAAAAAACCTGAAAGATTTATTGTAGTACCCAGTACTTAGTGGGTTAGGCAATAACTGTGGCACTTTGAAAACCAACTATTCAAAGAAGCAAAATTACGCTTATTTGTATGTTCATGGTAAATGGTCTTTACTGGCGTTTTCTGTGTTTTTCAAACACAAAAACTTGACTACATGGCATTTTCCCCTTATATTTTCGATTAGTTCACCCAGCTTTTTTTTCTAAAGGATATCTATTATATCACAGGCTCTTAGTATTTTTTAAACAAATAGAATCCTAGTTATCAGAACTAAAATAGAAGTTTTGATAGAAATGTGATTCTGAAAACAATGGGCCACTTAATTTCACATTATGACGTTTTATTATTTCAGCGGGAAATTGCTTAGCAGAAAAGATGAGTTATGTGTAGTTAATTCTGAAAAGTTTTTTAAAAAAAAAAGAGGTTGAGAAAATTAAGAAATGCCTGGTTTAACTTTTACAGCTACTATCCCCACTGCCTCTCCCTCATTCATTCCCCTCACAAGGACCCAGTGATCTCTTTTGTAATACAAATCCCCTGAATTAAAACTCTAATTGATTCCCACTGATCCCAAGATAAAATACAATATCTTCAGTGGTCTTGGAAGCCCTACTTAATCTTTCCGTACCGACCTTAAGGGTTTTATCCAGTATCCCATACTTGCAGGATTTCTGTGCTCTACCTACACTGACCTTTTTCAGTTCCAGAATCTCAGAATTCTCCTGAGGTGTGGCGACCTTTGGGCTTTCTCTTCCCTCAGTTGAGAATGCAGTCTTTTGTCCATAGATACATCTCTTCCATCATTCTGCTGATTTCAGCCCTCCACGAAAGCATGTAGTCCTCAGAAAAGTTTTCCTGCTCCATCTGGCTAGCAGGTCCCCTTTATATGCTGGCATGGCCCCCTGCAATCTCTACAGTCCTTAATACCGTTGTAATTAAGTAATTAACTCCTTAGTGGACCTGGTCTCTCTCATTAATCTTTATGTCCTTAGAGCCTAGCAAAATACTCTCCTTGTACCTTATTGGAAATTGAATAAATACTTGTCAAATCAATGAATTCACACCTTGGAATAAAATAAAAATAATCCGTGAGGCTTTCATGCTTCTTGAATTAATTGTGGGAAGAAAATATCAGAGAAACACAACATGAGCTGCCTTAGAATTTGACCTAAGTACTATTCTAAGAAGCTAGCTTCACCAAACAAACAAACAGTAAATGTAGTATTTATGGCTCCATCCGCAGTAACTTGACTATTATCAAATTTCTCTCCTTTGATTACTCATTTGATTAGTCACAAAGTCCTGTCAATTTTGCCTCCTTAGGATCTTCCAGATCTGTTCACTTAACTCCACTGCTCCACAATTTTAGTTGAGGTCTCCATCATCTCTTACTTGGATTCCTCCAACAGCTTCCACATTCTGCCTCCACTTTTGGTCTCTCTTTAATCCATTTCCCACTGCAGCTGAAAATATTTTTCAAAAATGCATACCTTTTCCTTTTAAAAATGCTTTTATTCTTTCCCTTTACCTCAGGATAAACAAGGTAGTACTAACTTCTCAATAGAGCTTATGAAGCCTTTCATGATTTAACCCGTGCCTACCACTCTGGTCCTTCACTAATGCTCTCTCCCCAAATTCTAGACGTCGACCATACTAAATATTTAGTTACGCAACCACCACGCTGTCTCTGCCTCCAGGCCTTGGCACTTGCCACTATTCCTTCCTGGCCCATCCTTCCCCTCTTTCCCAGCCTGGCTAATTACTCCGCCACCAATTATATTGGGACTCTTATGTCTTATTCACAATTGTACTCTCACTGCCACCATAGTGTTTGGTGTATGGTGGTGTTTGATGAATGGTATTTTGGATGGTCAGCATAATATTCTTGGTTTAAATGATGGTGCTTATCCTTGTTCTGGCAGGTCTTTGTGTTTGATGTTGGACAGAAAACTTGGAAATCTTATGACTGGTCACAGATTACAACTGTGGCAACATTTGGAAAATATGACTCAGAACTTATGTGCTACGCTCATTCAAAAGGAGCCAGAGTAGTACTTAAAGGTACGCTGTTACCAGATCTATGTGTCCAGCAATTGGGAAATTTATCTGTATCACTTGCTATAGTTCCGGCTTTCCAAAAACTTCCTTTTATGTTTATCTGTTTTTGTTAGGATCCTATAATCTAAGATACTGTGTAATTCATTTCACAAATGCAGATCTTTTAAAACAAATTAAACCACTGTATGGTTTTGAGCAAAATGTAACTGGCAAATTAGCATGATGACCACAATTTCTGCTTCTAACTTGAGAACAATTTTACTAATGATTTATAATGGTTATTTTGGAGATTGGTGAGTAATGGCTTTCTGTTACTTTGGTATATTCTTTCTCTATTTGGAAAACTTCAATTAGGGGCTTAGTCTTCCAAAATAATGAAATGTTTTTGCATACATGTTCAAAAGATATATACTTCTTCCACAGGAGATGTATCCTTAAAGGATATCATTGATCCTGCTTCCAGAGCATCCTGGATAGCTCAAAAAGTTAATTTGGCCAAAACACAATATATGGATGGAATTAATATCGATATAGAGCAAGAAGTTAATTGTTTATCACCTGAATACGATGCATTAACTGCTTTAGTCAAAGAAACTACAGACACTTTCCATCGTGAAATTGAGGGATCACAGGTAAAAATTCATTTATTCTTTGGAAACCTCATCTTTTCCATATCAGAATATACTAATGAGGGTAAAACTAATATAATCTTAGTTTTATAGTAATGCAATGGGAGTTTCAGCACTTATTTCTCAAAAAATTTTTCTGGAGCCTTTGATGTTCTTATTTAAGGAATTTTAAAGCACTATTCTCTGTTTACATCAAAATACAACACTGGGATTACCCCACTACTTGCCTTGTAACACAGTTAGAAGTGTTAGACAATGGGAGAACAGAAATCAAGGGGGGCCTAACCAGCTTTTACCAGTGCAGGACAGAAACAACCCAGGAGTAGAGGTAATTCTGGAGAAGTGTATCACTTGCTCCACAGTCTCTGAATTACTTGCACCCAAGGCCCAGTAAAGCTTAAAGGACTAACTACACGGAACTGTGACAGCTATGACAATAGGCAGTGTGCTTCCCCACTGCCATAATGAACATGATTAGACCAGAAGGTAACAACACAAGAAATCTTGCCAGACAACAGGTGGGTAACAGAGGATAATGTGAACCCACATTAGTGATCCTCAAACCTAGCCACGTATCAAGATAACCACAGATCTTAAGAAAAAGTAAACGTGTTTACTTTTACACACACATGCGCACTTCGAACTTATTCCCAGAAATGATTTTTCAAAAGGGTTTGGGTAATCCCAGAGTCCACAGTTTTAAAAAAGTTTCATTGGTGATTATAGTTAAGAAGTAATAGGCTAGACAATGAGTTTTTTTGAAGACAGGGTGCAGCTCCTTGATATCTAACAGAATGCTTAAAAATTTATTCCAGTATAGAGCATTATGAGTATTATAAACCAGTGATTCCTGTCTCAGAATTACCTGAGAGTGCTTGTTTAAAATATCCTAAGTGTATTAGTTTGTTCTCACATTGCTATAAAGAAATACCTGAGGTTGGGCGCGGTGGCTCACGCCTTTAATCCCAGCACTTTGGGAGGCCGAGGCGGGCGGATTACGAGGTCAGGAGATCGAGACCATGGTGAAACCCTGTCTCTAC